GGCTGCAAGAATGCAGACAGAGAGAAAGAGAAATGATTGCTTTTACATCCTATATGGGTGTAAAAGCAATCAGTGTAAAAAAAAAAAAATCTTCATCACCCCCCACAAGTAGTACAGTGTCACCATGGTGACACTGTACTGCTAGGGTGACAGTATGTAAAAAAATAAAATAAAAAAATAATAATAATAATATAAAAAAAATAAAATAAAAATGTAAAAAAAAATGTTTAAAAATTATAATTTTTGGTTATAAAACTAATTTGGATTTTTGTTTTTACTAAAAAAATAACAGAATCAATTTTTTTTCCAAGATTTATGATGAAATATTATTTATTTGCAAAATTTTATTAAAAAAAAACACTTTTTTTCAAAATTTTTGGACATTTTCATTTACATAGTAAAAAAAATTAAAGTCCCAGCAGTGAATAAATACCACCAAAATAAAGCTTTATCTGTCTCAAAAAAATGGTAAAAAATTCATATGGGTACAGTATTGCATGACCGCGCAATTGTCATTCAAAGTGTGATAGCGCTGAAAGCTGAAAATTGCCCTGGACAGGAAGGGGGTGAAAGTGTCCGGACAGGAAGTGGTTAAAATCTTGCAAACATACAGCTTGTTACTAAAAACATATTTACATGTATACAAAAAAATAAATAAAAATTTAAATATACATACACAAACAAAAACAAACAAGGAAATAACAGAAAGTAAACAGTTTTTTTCCAAAAAATAACATAACAAAGAACTATATACAAAGAAACATAATTTTGTTACCAGTAAACTACTAACTTATGCAAAACACACCCCTACCTCCACCTAAACACACCTTCAGGCTAAGAAATGATAAAACATTAAACCCATGCAAGCAGCCTTTTTCAAAAGTCTCATCTTATAACAATCTAAGGGACCTGAAAGAAAAACCACGTACCCAGAGACTGACGTCAGCTACAGGGACCTGACATTCCTCCATGCCTTTGTCCAGTCTTCCGGCCTCCACCTGTCCCTTTCAAGGCCCTGAATTTTCCCAACTTCAACTAGAATGTTGTACACCATCACCTCAACAGGAAGGATTTTGTCCGAGTGGAAACCTGACATCGTGCATTACACATGTAGTAACAAACTACTAAGCTAACTAGAAAAAAAGGTCTCAAATCCCAGTGAGTTTGAAAGGCTCCATATGACCACTTCACGTAACTCAAGTGGGAAAGGAAAGAAATACCCAGAGCCCCACCCACCCGCTTATAGACATCTATATTGAAGGGACACTGAAGCAAGTAATAGTCCATCGTTTCCTCCACCCCACCACACTCCACTCTTAGACAGCCCCGATTCTCCACAGGACAAAGCTTCAGATTGCCCTTCATATAGTGTCTGCCATGGAATGAGTGTCAAGCTAAATCCCAAAACTTTAAAGGGATTCTCTCCAGATTTATTAAACGCAGACTCTTCCTCATAACAGGTCCTGAGCAATCCCTGAAGTCTAGTGGTTCACTAAAAGCAGATCAACAACCTGCCTCTCCAGGGCCTTCCTAGGTAGAGACTTCATTTCCTCCACTGTCACTTACCACTGCCGAAGCATTTTCAGGCACGGGGCAAAGTAAGCTGGGAGCTTACCATGTCAGACCCTCTGACTTTTCACTGGCCCACCATTCTCCAAGCTTTGCAGAAAAGACCTAAACCAGGATTGAAAAATACCAACCCACCCAGACGGTTCCTCTGCCAGCATGCTACCAAACTTATCAGAGACATCAAATTATCAAAAACATCAGACAAAAGAAAACCACCGGGTTGACCATACTTAACGAGGTTCAGTCTGTTCCACCATAACAGTTGAAAGAAACAGCTTTAAATCTTTGCATAGAGAGAGACTAGCAAAACACAGTCAAAGCTGACATATAGAAATACTGGGATCAGATAAGTTTTAATCAGCTCAACCCTTTCCCTGTAAGAGAGTTTCTAGTCCTTCCAGCTGGCAACCATGGCATCGGCATCTTGTAGCCTGCTTACCTAATTAGCAAGGCCATAATTGCCGGGACTAAATTTGATGCCTAAAATCTTGATTTCCTGTTGGGGCCCTGGAAATACATCTAGAAGCTCAAAGTATTCACCCTCCTCTCCCATCCAGAAAACCTCACTCTTATCCCGATTGATCTATGAGCTAGATGCCTCATCCTTGAGACCACCTCCTCATCCTCCTTCATCCCAGAGATGAAAACAGCCACATCATCAGCACAGGCCATGACCCTCAAGGTAGGCTCATCAGCAAAGCCAAATGCACTCCACACACATTCCCGCTCTCTAACTTAGATTGTAAATGTGTATAGCAGAATACGAATAGGACACCCCTGACGTACACCTGAGCCAACCTCAAAGGGCCATCCGATCCAACCATTCACAAGCATGAGGCTTTCATCCCCCTGTATAAGGTCTTCATGGCACATTAGAATGAACACTCCTCTGTGGTATATGTCAGAGCTGCATGTACAGTTGTGTTCAAAATAATAGCAGTCAGACTTCACTAACCGGATCAATCACTGTTTTTGGTAGAAATTATATTTCTACATGGCAAATAATTTACTAGCAGGTGTAGTAGAGTAATAGAAATCCAACAAACCCAACAGTCATGACATGCATGCTGCTGATTCTGTGTCATTGAATCACTCATTGAAAGGGGCGTGTTCAAAATAATAGCAGTGTGGAGTTCTATTAGTGAGGTCATTCATTCTTTGAAAAACAGGTGGCAATTATTGCCCTTATTTAAGGAGGGAAGGCAGCAAATGTTGTACATGCTGGTTACAGTGCATTTCTCTCTGAGATTCTGAGGAAAATGGGTCGTTCCAGACATTGTTCAGAAGAACACCGTGCCTTGATTAAAAAGTTGATTGGAGAGGGGAAAACATATAAAGAAGTGCAGAAAATGATCGGAATGGATAGAAGAATAGCCAAAATGGCGCGGACTCAGCCAACAATCAGCTCCAGGAAGATGAAAGAAGGTGTAAAGTTCCCTGTGAGGACTGTTACAATTAGAAGACGCCTATGTGAAGCCAAGCTATCTGCAAGAAGGCCCCGCAAAGTCCCACTGTTGGGAAAAAGACACGTGCTGAAGAGGTTACAATTTGCCAAAGAGCACATTGACTGGCCTAAAGAGAAATGGCGCAACATTTTGTGGACTGATGGAAGTAAGATTGTTCTTTTTGGGTCTAGTGGGCGGAGACAGTTTGTCAGACGACCCCCAAACACTGAATTTAAGCCACAGTACACTGTGAAGACAGTGAAGCATGGTGGTGCAAGCATCATGATATGGGGATGTTTCTCATACTACGGTGTTGGGCCTATTTATCGCATACCAGGGATCATGGATCAGTTTGAATCCATCAGAATACTTGAAGAGGTCATGCTGCCTTATGCTGAAGAGGAAATGCCCTTGAAATGGGTGTTCCAACAAGACAACGACCCCAAACACACCAGTAAACATGCAACATCTTGGTTCCAGACCAACAAGATTGACGTTATGGAGTGGCCAGCCCAATCCCCGGATCTTCATCCAATAGAAAACTTGTGGGGTGACATCAAAAATGCCGTTTCTGAGGCAAAACCAAGAAATAGAGAAGAACTGTGGAATGTGGTCCAATCATCCTGGGCTGGAATACCTGATCACAGGGGCCAGAAGTTGGGTGACTCCATGCAACACAGATGTACAGCAGTTCTCAGAAACAGTGCGACTACAACCAAATATTCATGAAGTCATTCAAAGGAAAGCAAAATCTTCAGACATTTCTCAGTTTATATAGTGAATGTTTGAGTTTGTAAAGAAGAATACAAACGCTGCCATTTTTTTGAACAGTCTAATATTCACTTTTCTTCCATTTTTTTAGAGAAACAACACAAATTTGATGTATTTTTCTTCATGTTTTGATTTGGAATAGAATGTGTCGTGTTCCCAATGCATTTGTGTGGATGGAAATAAAAGCTATTAGAAGGATTTTCAGCTTTATTCACTTTTTTCAACACACTGCTATTATTTTGAGCACAACTGTATGTATAATGATAGTGTGTTACTGTGATGGGGATGTTAGAGTGTAAGCTCCTCTGGTGCAGAGACTAATTTGAATTGCTCAGTGTTCTGTGTACAGTGCTGTGATATATGTCAGAGCTATAAAAAAAAGTATAATAAAAATCGTCTGCGACTGTGGTGAGACATTAGAATGTAAGCTCCTTTGGTATAAAAAAAAGTTCTTAGTAATCACATTATTTATTTATTATTGAGAGTCATTGGGTATATCATTATCCACATAAATCGTTTGTGACGTGTATCTGTACAGGAAGGGGTCAGATCGAGTTATTCCCCATATCTTTATGTAATCAGGCCTGCCTAATCTGATGATCTCACCCATCACAGGGTAACCGATAATCACCTAAATAAAGAAGAGTTAATAAATAACCAAAATTTTTTTTTTTTCCATGGAGCATTTCCATTGACGAATTCATTAGCACCAAGCTCGTGTGGTCTGAAACAGTACTGCACTCATTTTTTTGCAAATAAAAATCCGCTGAGCAGATGGCGATGTTGTTGGTTTTCTCTGTATCCCATCTGAACTTTGAAGAACTATTTTTGGTAGTAGGTAATTTACTTTTTTTTTTTTTTTAGTATATTTTTGGGCAATGGGGGAAAGCAGGACACACAGAGGAACACACACAAACTCAGGGAGATTACTCCGGCTTCATAGACAGTCCTGTAGGGAGCTGTAGCCAGGACCCCTGTGCTGCAAGGTCACAGTGCCAGCTAGTGAGTTACCATACTGCCTCCTCCTGCCAGAGACCTGGCCCAGCAATGGCCGGCATGCAAGCACTGATACTTACAAGGACAGACTTTTAAATAGGGATCTAGACAGAAGCAAGAGTGTCACCAATTACAGTATCTTCCGGATTTCTATATTCTGCTTTAAAGTACTCAGTAAATTCCCAGAAAAATGAAAAATGTATTTTGTTAAAAACGTACCCGGCATCGATTTCCGCAACATCCCTTACCACAGCAACCTTTACCACCTGCCCGAATGGCATTGCAAGATGGACACAACATCTGCAGGGATACAAGATGAGAATCAGAAAACATTGTAAAATACCATATGGCAAAATGTATTCTACGTCACCCTGCAGGAGGAGGACAGACTCGTAGCCCCCTTCTGTCTGTATCACCCTGCAGGAGGAGGACAGAGTCATAGCTCCCTTCTGTCTGTATCACCCTGCAGGAGGAGGACAGACTCATAGCCCCCTTCTGTCTGTATCACCTGCAGGAGGAGGACAGACTCATAGCTCCCTTCTGTCTCTATCGCCCTGCAGGAGGGGGACAGACTCATAGCCCCCTTCTGTCTGTATCACCCTGCAGGAGGAGGACAGACTCATAGCCCCCTTCTGTCTGTATCACCCTGCAGGAGGAGGACAGACTCATAGCCCCCTTCTGTCTGTATCACCCTGCAGGAGGAGGACAGACTCGTAGCCCCCTTCTGTCTGTATCACCCGCAGGAGGAGGACAGACTCGTAGCCCACCCTGCAGGAGGAGGACAGACTCATAGTCCCCTTCTGACTGTATCACCCTGCAGGAGGAGGACAGACTCGTAGCCCCCTCTGTCTGTATCACCCGCAGGAGGAGGACAGACTCGTAGCCCACCCTGCAGGAGGAGGACAGACTCATAGCCCCCTTCTGTCTGTATCACCCTGCAGGAGGAGGACAGACTCGTAGCCCCCTTCTGTCTGTATCACCCTGCAGGAGGAGGACAGACTCGTAGCCCCCTTCTGTCTGTATCACCCTGCAGGAGGAGGACAGACTCGTAGCCCCCTTCTGTCTGTATCACCCTGCAGGAGGAGGACAGACTCATAGCCCCCTTCTGTCTGTATCACCCTGCAGGAGGAGAACAGACTCATAGCCCCTTCTGTCTGTATCACCCTGCAGGAGGAGGACAGACTCGTAGCCCCCTTCTGTCTGTATCACCTGCAGGAGGAGGACAGACTCATAGCCCCCTTCTGTCTGTATCACCCTGCAGGAGGAGGACAGACTCATAGCCCCCTTCTGTCTGTATCACCCTGCAGGAGGAGGACAGACTCATAGCCCCCTTCTGTCTGTATCACCCTGCAGGAGGAGGACAGACTCATAGCCCCCTTCTGTCTGTATCACCCTGCAGGAGGAGGACAGACTCATAGCCCCCTTCTGTCTGTATCACCCTGCAGGAGGAGGACAGACTCATAGCCCCCTTCTGTCTGTATCACCCTGCAGGAGGAGGACAGACTCATAGCCCCCTTCTGTCTGTATCACACTGCAGGAGGAGAACAGACTCCTAGCTCCCTTCTGTCTGTATCACCCTGCAGGAGGAGGACAGACTCATAGCCCCCTTCTGTCTGTATCACACTGCAGGAGGAGAACAGACTCATAGCTCCCTTCTATCTCTGTCATTGTATATAAAAAGGTAACCTGTTACTCACAAATAATCCGGCGCCTCCTACACCCGCCATCAGCCAGACCTGCATAGTGATATGGTCGGTCCATTTGGTCTCCCCATTAGGAAATATCAGTAACACATTGGCGATGATGCATATGAACGCCATGGGCAATAGCGCCAAGCCAATGAATCGCGAACATTTTCCCGTACACATTCTGGAGGCTCCTCCAAGATGGAGAACTCAATGTTAGTTCTCTGTAAATCCGGTGTGTGCTTTCTCCACTCGCTGTATGTTGGTTTAATGATAGGGAGATGGGCAAAGTTCATGGAAATTATCAGTCCCTGTTAAGGGACAGGTCCAGGGGAGGGGGATGGATGACGAGGAGAGATCACACAATGGTGACAATGAATAATTATTATTGACAGATAACAAGAGCAAAATCAGTTCATAAAAAAGAGATCTTAAAAATATATATATAATGAATGGTAAGGGTAAGGACAGCTAAATGGTTCCTGGGCTCCTTCAGAGCACCCCGATCTCCGCATATGGTCTTTCCCATTATCGCAGAAGCGCATTATCAGCTCAATAAAGTGACTTCATCCTCCTCAAACACGTATGCAGCCAGGAGATAGAAATGGCAGTTCAGGCGGATGCTTTTGTGAACCACCGGCATGGGTGAAGTTAGACAAGACACAAGACTATTACTACCAAATACACTATATTGCCAAAAGTATTGGCCCCGCCCTCCAAATCATGTGATTCAGGTGTTCAAATCCCCTCCATGGCCACAGGTGTATACAATGAAGCCCCTAGACATGCAGACGGCTTCTACAAACATTGGTGAAAGAATGGGTCGCTTTCAGGAGCTCAGTGACTCCAAGCGTGGTCCCGTGATAGGTGGCCTCCTGGGCAATAAGTCCATCCGTGACATTTCCTGGCTACTAAATATTCCACGCTCAACTGTTAGTGGGATTATAACAAAGTGGAAGCCACTGGGAACAACAGCAACTCAGCCACCAAGTGGTAGGCCACGTCACATGACAGAGCGGGGTCAGCGCATGCTGAAGCGCACAGTGCGCAGAAGTCACCAACTGTCTGCAGAGTCAATAGCTAAAGACCTCCAAACTTGGTGTGGCCTTCAGATGAGCCCAACAACAGTGCATAGAGAGCTTCATGGAATGGGTTTCCATGGCCGAGCAGCTGCATCCAAGCCTTCCATCACCAAGTGCAATGCAAAGTGTCAGATGAAGTGGTGTAAAGCACGCCGCCACTGGACTCTAGAGCAGGGGAGACATGTTCTCTGGAGGGACCAATTACACTTCTCTGTCTGGCAATCCAATGGACGTGTCTGGGTTTGGCAGTTGCCAGGAGAACAGTACTTGCCTGACTGCATTGTGCCAAGTGTAAAGTTTGGTGGAGGGGAGATTATGGTGTGAGGTTGTTTTTCAGGGCTTGGGCTTGGCCCCCTAGTTCCAGTGAAGGGAACTTTTAAGGCAACATTTTGGATGATTTCATGCTCCCAACTTTGTGGGAAGAGTTTGGGGATGGCCCCTTCCTGTTCCAACATGACTGCGCACCAGTGCACAAAGCAAGGTCCATAAAGACATGGATGAGCCAGTTTGGGGTGGAGGAACTTGACTGTCCCGCACAGAGTCCTGACCTCAACCCCATAGAACACCTTTGGGATGAATTAGAGCGGAGACTGCGAGCCAGGCCTCCTCCCCCGACATCAGTGCCTGACCTGACAAATGTGCTTCTGGAAGAATGGTCCAACCTTCCCATAGACACCCTCCTAAACCTTGTGGACGGCCTTCCCAGAAGAGTTGAATCTGTTATAGCTGCAAAGGGCGGGGCCAACTCAATATTGAGACTGGGAGGCCATTAAAACCGATTTCCCACTGCCCTATAGTAGATATACATATTTTTGCATTTCTGGGCAGGGGGTAAGGCATGAGCGCCTTGCCAGCGACGCTATTCATGGCCTTGGCTGGCCGGTGATTAATCGCCAGCACCCGGTGATTGAGGAACATTACCGACGGAAGGAGAGAACTGTATGTAAACAATACAGATCTCTCCCCTCTCTGCTCCTGCACACTGCTTTGCATGGCTTTGCATAGCAGACCAATACAAAGCAGTGTGCTTACAGTTGTAGCACAGACACAGTGCCACAGTACAACACACACAGCACACAGTTAACCCTTTGACCACCCCAGGTGTTAACCCCTTCCTGCCCAGTGCCATTAGTACAGTGTCAGTGCTTTGCATTAGCCCTGATCACTGTACTGGTGTCACTGGGGATGTCAGTGACACCAAGTCAGTCCCCCCCCAGTGTCAGAATGCCTGCTGCAGTCCTGCTATAAGTTGCTCATCGCCGCCATTACTAGTGTTAAAAAAAAAAATTCCAGTATACAATATCTCCCAGAAGTGAGTCCACCGCTCACATTTTTGTAAATATTTGATTCTCTTTTCATGTGACAACACTGGAGGGATGACACTTTGCTACAATGTGACGTAGTCAGTGTACAGCTTGTATAACATGGAAATTTGCTGTCCCCTCAAAATAACTCAACACACCGCCATTAATGTCTAAACCGCTGGAAACAAAAGTGAGTCCACCCCTAAGTGACAAGGTCCAAATTGGGCCCAAAGTGTCAATATTTTGTGTGGCCGCCATTATTTTCCAGCACTGCCTTAACCCTCTTGGGATGGAGATCACCAGAGCTTCACAGGTTGCCACTGGAGTCCTCTTCCACTCCTCCATGACGTCATCACGGACCTGGTGGATATTAGAGACCTTGCGCTCCTCCACCTTCCGTTTGAGGATGCCCCACAGATGCTCAATAGGGTGGCGGTGTGTTGAGTTATTTTGAGGGGACAGCAAATTTCCATGTTATACAAGCTGTACACTGACTACGTCACATTGTAGCAAAGTGTCATTTCTTCAGTGTTGTCACATGAAAAGATAGAATCAAATATTTACAGAAATGTGAGGGGTGGACTCACTTCTGGGAGATACTGTAAATTCCATTTGGATGCGGCGTTGCATGACCGCGTAATTGTCAGGTAAAATAACGCAGCGCCGTAACGCAAAAAATGGCCTGGTCTGGAAGGGAAATCCTCTGGAGGGTGAGGGGTTAGGGTTATTATTATACAGGATTTATACGGCGCGGACAGTTTGCGCAGAGCTTTAGAACATGACGGCGGACCGTACAATTGCAACACAACTGAATACAGGAGGAATCAGAGGGCCCTGCTCATTACAATCCAAGTAGGAGGGTCAGGAAATACAAAACATTACAAAGTAATACATTCACAAGAATTATTTTGGCCATAAAAAACAATCTTTTTATTTCTTTGGGATCTACAGGAAGAAGCATGCAACAAAATGTAAAAAATTTGATTAAAAAACAAAATACATAAAAATTCTACCTTACCAGAGTTCTGTTTAAGAAGACTAGTGTTCCTGTAGATCGGGGGTCACCAAACCTTCCAGACAAAGGGCCAGTTTACTGAGCTTCAGAGTTTAGGGGGAGCGGACTGTAGCCAGCAATAGAAAATGTCCTAACATCAGTGGGAGAAAACAATACCCAATCATTGGTAAAAGGGGAATTATTAGTGCCTCATCATTGCCAGTAGGAGGAATAGTGTCCCATCATTGGTGTCAGTGGGAGGAATAGTGCCTCATCATTGTCAGTAGGAGGAATAGTGTCCCATCATTGGTGTCAGTGGGAGGAATAGTGCCCCATCATTGATATCAGTGGGAGGAATAGTGTCCCATCATTGGTGTCAGTGGGAGGAATAGTGCCCCATCATTGGTGTCAGTGGGAGGAATAGCATCCAATCATTGGTATCAGTGGGAGGAATTGTGCCCCATCATTGGTGTCAGTGGGAGGAATAGTGCCCCATCATTGGTGTCAGTGGGAGGAATAGTGCCCCATCATTGGTATCAGTGGGAGGAATAGTGCCCCATGATTGGTGTCTGTGGGAGGAATAGTGCCCCATCATTGGTGTCAGTGGGAGGAATAGTGCTCCATCATTGGTATCACTGGGAGGAATAGTGTCCCATCATTGGTATCAGTGGGGGGAATAGCGCCCCATCATTGGTGTCAGTGGGAGGAATAGCGCCCCATCATTGATGTCAGTGGGAGGAATAGTGCCCCATCATTGGTGTCAGTGGTAGGAATAGTACCCCATCATTGGTATCAGTGGGGGGAATAGCGCCCCATCATTGGTGTCAGTGGGAGGAATAGCGCCCCATCATTGGTGTCAGTGGGAGGAATAGCGCCCCATCATTGGTGTCAGTGGGAGGAATAGTGCCCCATCATTGGTGTCAGTGGGAGGAATAGTGCCCCATCATTGGTGTCAGTGGGAGGAATAGCGCCCCATCATTGGTATCAGTGGGAGGAATAGCGCCCCATCATTGGTGTCAGTGGGAGGAATAGCGCCCCATCATTGGTATCAGTGGGAGGAATAGCGCCCCATCATTGATGTCAGTGGGAGGAATAGTGCCCCATCATTGGTGTCAGTGGTAGGAATAGTACCCCATCATTGGTATCAGTGGGAGGAATAGTGCCCCATCATTGGTGTCACTGGGAGGAATAGTGTCCCATCATTGGTATCAGTGGGAGGAATAGTGCCCCATCATTGGTGTCAGTGGGAGGAATAGTGCCCCATCATTGGTGTCAGTGGGAGGAATAGTGCCCCATCATTGGTGTCAGTGGGAGGAATAGTGCCCCATCATTGGTATTAGTGGGAGGAATAGTGCCCCATCATTGGTGTCAGTGGGAGGAATAGTGCCCCATCATTGGTGTCAGTGGGAGGAATAGTGCCCCATCATTGGTGTCAGTGGTAGGAATAGTACCCCATCATTGGTGTCAGTGGGAGGAATAGTGCCCCATCATTGGTGTCAGTGGGAGGAATAGTGTCCCATCACTGGTATCAGTGGGAGGAATAGTGCCCCATCATTGGTGTCAGTGGGAGGAATAGTGCCCCATCATTGGTGTCAGTGGGAGGAATAGTGCCTCATCATTGGTGTCAGTGGGAGGAATAGTGCCCCATCATTGGTGTCAGTGGGAGGAATAGTGCCCCATCATTGGTGTCAGTGGGAGGAATAGTGTCCCATCATTGCTGTCAGTGGGAGGAATAGTGTCCCATCATTGGTGTCAGTGGGAGGAATAGTGCCCCATAATTGGTGTCAGTGGGAGGAATAGTGCCCCATCATTGGTGTCAGTGGTAGGAATAGTGCCGCATCATTGGTGTCAGTGGGAGGAATAGTGCCCCATCATTGGTGTCAGTGGGAGGAATAGTGCCCCATCATTGGTGTCAGTGGGAGGAATAGTGTCCCATCATTGGTGTCAGTGGGAGGAATAGTGTCCCATCATTGGTGTCAGTGGGAGGAATAGTGCCCCATCATTGGTGTCAGTGGGAGGAATAGTGCCCCATCATTGGTGTCAGTGGTAGGAATAGTGCCGCATCATTGGTATCAGTGGGAGGAATACTGCCCCATCATTGGTGTCAGTGGGAGGAATAGTGCCTCTTCATTGGTGTCAGTGGAGGGAATAGTGCCCCATCATTGGTGTCAGTAGAAGGAATAGTGCCCCATCATTGGTATCAGTGGGAGGAATAGTGCCCCATCATTGGTATCAGTGGGAGGAATAGTGCCCCATCATTGGTATCAGTGGGAGGAATAGTGCCCCATCATTGGTATCAGTGGGAGGAATAGTGCCCCATCATTGGTGTCAGTGGGAGGAATAGTGCCTCTTCATTGGTGTCAGTGGAAGGAATAGTGCCTCTTCATTGGTGTCAGTGGAAGGAATAGTGCCCCATCATTGGTGTCAGTGGGAGGAATAGTACCTCTTCATTGGTGTCAGTGGAAGGAATAGTGCCTCTTCATTGGTGTCAGTGGAAGGAATAGTGCCCCATCATTGGTGTCAGTGGGAGGAATAGTGTCTCTTCATTGGTGTCAGTGGAAGGAATAGTGCCCCATCATTGGTGTCAGTGGAAGGAATAGTGCCTCTTCATTGGTGTCAGTGGGAGGAATAGTGCCCCATCATTGGTGTCAGTGGAAGGAATAGTGCCCCATCATTGGTATCCCTGGGAGGAATAGTGCCCCATCATTGGTATCCCTGGGAGGAATAGCGCCCCATCATTGGTATCAGTGGGAGGAATAGTGACCCATCATTGGTATCAGTGGGAGGAATAGTGCCCCATCATTGGTGTCAGTGGGAGGAATAGTGCCCCCATCATTGGTGTCAGTGGAAGGAATAGTGCCCCATCATTGGTGTCAGTGGGAGGAATAGTGCCCCAAGGGCCAATAAAGGCGAGTGTAGGGCACATTCGGCTCACAGGCCGCAGTTTGGAGACCATTGCTGTTGTTAGAAGGTGTAGAAGTGATTCTGGGATTTGGCCCCGTGTATAATGACACTACAATTGTGTTCCTGATACAAAATATGGAGAAATTGGTTACAAATCATATAAAGTATTTTATTTAAAGTTTGTGTATTTTTTTTGTCACACCACAGAAACAGCAAATGGAGGAATTCAGGCCTCTTGCACACCGTATTCTTCTAGACACTTCGTAAAAGCAGCGTTTTTGCATGTACTTTTATGTGTGTCAATGCGCATTAGTGCGTCGAGGGTAATGCATTCTATTAATGTATTCTAGCCATGAGAGCAGAGCTGTGGGAGGGGCTCAGCAGACTCCACCTACTACAGGCTGAGTGCAGAAAACTACAGGAGGGGGCGGAGACAAGACTGGACACCCTGCACAAGTGAGAGAGCAGCAGTGGCCGGTCTTTATTACAGGAAATAAAAGTCTCACACTGGATTACTGCCCAGATCTGGAAGAAATGCACAAAGCTCACTGAAATCTGAGGAAGAGTACACACAACCAATGGATTTACACGATATTGGCGGGTCCTGGAGTTCAGCTTTAACTGACACTATTTATTTAAGGTACTTCTATATCGCCGTCAATTTACGCAGCACTCTACATATATATTGTACATTCACATCAGTCCCTAACCCTCAAGGGGCGTACAATCTAAGGTCCCTAACCCTCAAGGGGGGTACAATCTAAGGTCCCTAACCCTCAAGGGGTGTACAATCTAAGGTCCCTAACCCTCAAGGGGGGTACAATCTAAGGTCCCTAACCCTCAAGGGGCGTACAGTCTAAGGTCCCTAACCCTCAAGGGGCGTACAGTCTAAGGTCCCTAACCCCCAAGGGGCGTACAATCTAAGGTCCCTAACCCCCAAGGGGCGTACAATCTAAGGTCCCTAACCCCCAAGGGGCGTACAATCTAAGGTCTCTAACCCTCAAGGGGCGTACAATCTAAGGTCCCTAACCCTCAAGGGGCGTACAATCTAAGGTCCCTAACCCTCAAGGGGCGTACAATCTAAGGTCCCTAACCCTCAAGGGGCGTACAATCTAAGGTCTCTAACCCACAAGGGGCGTACAATCTAAGGTCCCTAACCCTCAAGGGGCATACAATCTAAGGTCCCTAACCCTCAAGGGGCGTACAATCTAAGGTCCCTAACTTATATTCATACATACACATACTAGGGACAATTCAGACAGGATCCAATTCACCTACCAGCATGTCTTTGGAGTGTGGGAGGAAACCGGAGTACCTGGAGGAAACCCACGCAGGCACAGGGAGAACATGCAAACTCCAGGAAGGTGGTGCCGTGGTTGGGATTCGAACCAGCGACCCGAGTACTGCCAGGCAGAAGCGCTAACCATTTAGAGACTGTGCTGCCCATTCCTATGTGTAGATTCAGCCCCGGTTCACATCAATGTGGCTTTACAGTCGCACAACTTTAACATGTGACTATGCAGTATGTCTTTGTTGCGACTTGCTGCCACTCGGTGCGACTTCATTAATAGATGTCAATGCAAATCGCAACAAAGTCACACAAAATTAGTGCAGGAACCTTTTTTCGAGGACTTGAGCCGCAGTCATTAGAATGGTTCTATTGAAAGATATTAGATGCGTCTTCGAACTCGCAAGTTGCATGAAAAGTCACCCTGGTGTGAACCGGGCACCCAAACAAACATGTAGATAAAAGGACACAGCTAGAGAACTGACCACGCTGTGCTCTCATGCCTAGTATGGTCAGTTTTTAATAGGAAAGCAGAGGGACTGGCAGGAGAACCAGGGACTTCACACAAAGGAAGCAATACAAAGAGAACAGGAGACGTCTTCCTTCCAGTACATGGTACAGCCGGCACATGTCAGGAATATGAAATGTTGGGTTTATGTATTCTTTAACCCCTCCCCCTCCAGAGGATTTCGCCCCTTCCTGACCAGGTCATTGTTTGCATTATGGTGCTGCGTTACTTTAACTGACAATTGAGCAGTCATGCAACGCTGCGCCCAAATGAAATTTATGTCTTTTTTTCCACACAAATTGAGCTTTCTTTTGGTGGTGTTTGATCGCCAGTGCGTTTTTTATATTTTTGCGCTATGAAGAAAAAAAAACTATTTTGAGAAAAAAAAAACAATGTTTTGGACTTTTTCCTAATAAATATATCCAGTAAAAAAAATTGTAAAAATCAAATGTCATCATAAATTTAGGGCGAAATGTCTTTGCTACAAAAATCCCAATACGTGTAAATGGTTTACGTGAAAGTTATAGCGTCTACAAATGGCGGTATATATACGGGAATTTTTTAATCAATTAATTTATTTAATAGTAATAGCGGCGATCAGCGACCTATAGCGGGACTGCGGCGAGCATTCTGACACTGTGGGGGGGACTGACTTGGTGTCCCTCACATCCCCAGTGACACCAATACAGTGATCAGTGCTAATAAAAAGCACTGACACTGTACTAATGGCACTGGGCAGGAAGGCGTTAACATGAGGGGCGATCAAAGGGTTAACTGTGTGCTGTTTTATTATAGAACTATGTCTGCGTGCTTCACTGTAAGCACACTGCTTTGCATGGCTGTGCTGTGCAGAGCCATCCAAAGCAGTGTGCAGAAGCTGACAGGGGGGAGAACTGTTTTGTTCCCAAACAGTTCTCCCTCCCCCATCGGCGATGCTCGGCAATCACCGGGCGCCAGGACCCGGTAATTGACATCCGTGGCCGCGAATGGCGAAATGGGAGGGCGCACGCCCCCCTACCCAGAAATGCGAAATCACGTATATACACATGATTTTGCGCACTCGCGCCGCCCTGTAGCAGTATTCCTGCTATAGGGCGGTCAGGAAGCGGTTAATCCAGATGTGGTACAAAAATAACAGGGCTTACGCGTTTCGACATGTAGGCTTAGCATTGCGCACCGAAACGCGTAAGACCTGCATTATTTTATACCTCATCTGGATTAATAAATGTATTCATGATGGAAAGTTGAGCTGCCAGCTTCCTTTTATCGACATAAATGCACCAAGGCGGGGGCACTCAAGCCAGGGGATGAACATGATGGTCCAGGTAACCTTCATTTTAGGAGGGGGGGGGGGGGATGAGCAATGGCAGCCTAGGTACTTTCTTTCATGGCACTTGGGTAATGTGGAAAATTCCTGGCAGTCCCTATCAGTCAGGGAAACCACAATTGTGAATATTTCCTCCTTTGTCCCTGACTACAGGTCAGTTATCATGGGGGGGGGGGGGGCAGCTTTCCCATAGATAAGGAGGTGACTCCCACTATTATAGATCGTCTTCTTATCGCATTCTGAAAATAACGCCGTTATCTCGGTAGAATTTGGACCCATAACCCCGTCCCTATACAGATGTCCCTGAGTATCTAATCGGGATCAGGACGGGCTGTAAACCATGTAGGTGTGTAATACACGGCACGGGCTATAGCGCCCACATAGGCCTGGGCGGCACTGGTACTGCCTGGCACAGACGCCGCTTTCCACCATCCAACAACATACATGTGAGCCCTTTAACGCCCGCCCACAACATGCACTCCTGGTTCCTGGAGGTTGCGTCTACTCCATGCAGTGCCGCCACAAGGTCCTGTGGCACCCAAGGTGAAGATACCAAAATTCAGACCCCCCACCAAGGAACTGAGACTCTGCAGAGGGAAGTGATCGGTAGGGAGAGGAATGATACTCTGCAGAAAGAAGTGATCAATACGGAAGGGAGTGATGTTCTGCAGAGAGAAGTGGTGAATACGGAGAGGAGTCATACTCTGCAGAGAGAAATGATCAGTAGGGAGAGGAATGATACTCTGCAGAAAGAAGTGATCAATACGGAAGGGAGTGATGCTCTGCAGAGAGAAGTGGTGAGTTCGGAGAGGAGTCATAATCTGCAGAAAGAAGTGGTTGGTAAGTAGAAAAGTGATGCTCTGCAGGGAGGAGTGATCAGTATGGAAGACAGCGATACTCTGCAGGGAGAAGTGGTGAGTACGGAGAGGAGTCATACTCTGCAGGGAGGAGTGGTGAGTACGAAGAGGAGACATACTCTGCAGAGAGAAGTGGTGAGTACGGAGAGGAGACATACTCTGCAGAGAGAAGTGGTGAGTACAGAGAGGAGACATACTCTGCAGAGAGAAGTGGTGAGTACGGAGAGGAGTCATACTCTGCAGAGAAGTGGTGAGTACGGAGAGGAGTCATACTCTGCAGGGAGGAGTGGTGAGTACGGAGAGGAGTCATACTCTGCAGGGAGGAGTGGTGAGTACGAAGAGGAGACATACTCTGCAGAGAGAAGTGGTGAGTACGGAGAGGAGACATACTCTGCAGAGAGAAGTGGTGAGTATGGAGAGGAGACATACTCTGCAGGGAGGAGTGGTGAGTACGGAGAGGAGTCATACTCTGCAGGGAGGAGTGGTGAGTACGAAGAGGAGACATACTCTGCAGGGAGGAGTGGTGAGTACGGAGAGGAGTCATACTCTGCAGAGAAGTGGTGAGTACGGAGAGGAGTCATACTCTGCAGGGAGGAGTGGTGAGTACGGAGAGGAGTCATACTCTGCAGGGAGGAGTGGTGAGTACGAAGAGGAGACATACTCTGCAGAGAGAAGTGGTGAGTACGGAGAGGAGACATACTCTGCAGAGAGAAGTGGTGAGTACGAAGAGGAGACATACTCTGCAGGGAGGAGTGGTGAGTACGGAGAGGAGTCATACTCTGCAGGGAGGAGTGGTGAGTACGGAGAGGAGTCATACTCTGCAGGGAGGAGTGGTGAGTACGGAGAGGAGACATACTCTGCAGAGAGAAGTGGTGAGTACGGAGAGGAGACATACTCTGCAGAGAGAAGTGATCAGTAGGGAGAGAAATGATACTCTGCAGAAAGAAGTGATCAATACGGAAGGGAGTGATGCTCTGAAGAGAGAAGTGGTGAGTACGGAGAGGAGTCATAATCTGCAGAAAGAAGTGGTTGGTAAGTAGAGAAGTGATGCTCTACAGGGAGGAGTGAACAGTATGGAAGACAGCGATACTCTGCAGAGAGAAGTGGTGAGTACGGAGAGGAGTCATACTCTGCAGGGAGGAGTGATCAGTATCAAGGAAATTATATTCTGCAGAGAGAAGTGATCAGTACATAAAGAAGTGATACCCTGCAAAAAGTGATCCGTATGGACAGGAGTAATAGTCTGCACGGAGAAGTGATTGGTAAGTAGAAGAGTGATGCTCTGCAGGAGGGAGTGATCAGTAAGGGAGTGATATACTGCAAAGAGAAGTATGATTTGCAAGGAAAGTAATACTCTGCACAGAGAAGTGATCAGTACAGAGGAGTGATACTCTGCAGGGAGAAGTGATGAGTATAGAGGAACAGATACTGTACAGTGGACAATATGTACAGGAGAGGAGTGTGGAGGGTGTGACAGTGGGCAGTGTGTACAGGAGAGGAGTGTGGAGGGGATGACAGTGGGCACTATGTACAGGAGAGGAGTGTGGAGGGGATGACAGTGGGCAGTGTGTACAGGAGAGGAGTGTGGAGGGTGTGACAGTGGACATATGTACAGGAGAGGAGTGTGGAGGGGATGACAGTGGGCAGTGTGTACAGGAGAGGAGTGTGGAGGGTGTGACAGTAGACAATATGTACAGGAGAGGAGTGTGGAGGGGATGACAGTGGGCACTGTGTACAGGAGAGGAGTGTGGAGGGTGTGACAGTGGGCAGTGTGTACAGGAGAGGAGTGTGGAGGGTATGACAGTGGGCAGTATGTACAGGAGAGGAGTGCGGAGGGGATGACAGTGGGCAGTGTGTACAGGAGAGGAGTGTGGAGGGTATGACAGTGGGCACTATGTACAGGAGAGGAGTGCGGAGGAGATGACAGTGGGCGGTGTGTACAGGAGAGGAGTGCGGAGGGGATGACAGTGGGCAGTATGTACAGGAGAGGAGTGCGGAGGGGATGACAGTGATCAGTATGTACAGGAGAGGAGTGTGGAGGTATGACAGTGATCAGTATGTACAGGAGAGGAGTGTGGAGGTATGACAGTGATCAGTATGTACAGGAGAGGAGTGTGGAGGTATGACAGTGATCAGTATGTACAGGAGAGGAGTGCAGAGGGTATGACAGTGGGCAGTATGTACAGGAGAGGAGTGTGGAGGGGATGACAGTGGGCAGTATGTACAGGAGAGGAGTGCGGAGGGGATGACAGTGATCAGTATGTACAGGAGAGAGTGTGGAGGTATGATAGTGATCAGTATGTACAGGAGAGGAGTGTGGAGGGTGTGACAGTGATCAGTATGTACAGGAGAGGAGTGCAGAGGGTATGACAGTGGGCAGTATGTACAGGAGAGGAGTGCGGAGGGGATGACAGTGATCAGTATGTACAGGAGAGGAGTGTGGAGGTATGATAGTGATCAGTATGTACAGGAGAGGAGTGTGGAGGGTGTGACAGTGATCAGTATGTACAGGAGAGGAGTGCAGAGGGTATGACAGTGGGCAGTATGTACAGGAGAGGAGTGTGGAGGGGATGACAGTGATCAGTATGTACAGGAGAGGAGTGCGGAGGAGATGACAGTGGGCAGTATGTACAGAAGAGGAGTGCGGAGGAGATGACAGTGGGCAGTATGTACAGGAGAGGAGTGTGGAGGAGATGACAGTGGGCAGTATGTACAGGAGAGGAGTGCGGAGGAGATGACAGTGGGCAGTATGTACAGGAGAGGAGTGTGTGGAGGAGATGACAGTGGGCAGTATGTACAGGAGAGGGGTGCGGAGGGGATTACAGTGGGCGGTATGTACAGGAGAGGAGTGTGGAGGTATGATAGTGATCAGTATGTACAGGAGAGGAGTGTGGAGGGGATGACAGTGGGCACTATGTACAGGAGAGGAGTGTGGAGGGGATGACAGTGGGCACTATGTACAGGAGAGGAGTGTGGAGGGGATGACAGTGGGCAGTATGTACAGGAGAGGAGTGTGGAGGGGATGACAGTGGGCAGTATGTACAGGAGAGGAGTGTGGAGGTATGACAGTGGGCAGTATGTACAGGAGAGGAGTGTGGAGGGGATGACAGTGATCAGTATGTACAGGAGAGGAGTGTGGAGGTATGACAGTGATCAGTATGTACAGGAGAGGAGTGCGGAGGAGATGACAGTGGGCGGTGTGTACAGGAGAGGAGTGCGGAGGGGATGACAGTGGGCGGTGTGTACAGGAGAGGACTGCGGAGGGGATGACAGTGGGCAGTATGTACAGGAGAGGAGTGTGGGGGGTATGACAGTGGGCAGTATGTACAGGAGAGGAGTGCGGAGGGTATGACAGTGGGCGGTATGTACAGGAGAGGAGTGCGGAGGTATGACAGTGGGCAGTATGTACAGAAGAGGAGTGCGGAGGAGATGACAGTGGGCAGTATGTACAGGAGAGGAGTGCGGAGGAGATGACAGTGGGCAGTATGTACAGGAGAGGAGTGTGGGAGGAGATAACAGTGGGCAGTATGTACAGGAGAGGAGTGTGGAGGAGATAACAGTGGGCAGTATGTACAGGAGAGGAGTGCGGAGGAGATGACAGTGGGCAGTATGTACAGGAGAGGGGTGCGGAGGGGATTACAGTGGGCGGTATGTACAGGAGAGGAGTGTGGAGGTATGATAGTGATCAGTATGTACAGGAGAGGAGTGTGGAGGTATGATAGTGATCAGTATGTACAGGAGAGGAGTGTGGAGGGGATGACAGTGGGCAGTATATACAGGAGAGGAGTGTGGAGGTATGACAGTGGG